TAAAAGCTATTAATAAAATAAAGGAAAGTATTAATTTCTTACTAAATTTACCTATTATCTATATAAGCTAATATTTACTATAAAACTTAAGAAATTTATAACTCCTTATATATAGAAAGAGAAAAGACCTTAAACTCTAGCTAATCTAGAGTATATTTAATAAGTCTATTTATTATAAAAATTCTATATAAAGAAAAAGAAATTCTACTACTATACCTTACCTAGTAATTTATATATAGACTTTATATACTTATTTTATATATATTATAATATAAATTTATTTAGTATAATTATAGCTTTTAAATAGATATACTTACTAAATTACTTACTATAATCTATAGTTCTAAATATACTTATTAAATTACTTACTATAATCTATAGTCTTAACTACTATAAAAGGTATATAGTAATTACTTACTTAGTAAGAAGAATTCTTTATTATTTACTTAAATACTTCTTACCTTTAAATAAATATAAGGTACTTAGTTTAAAAAGAAAGACTATATACTTAGCCTATTATCCTTCTTATTATTTTAGAATTCTACTCTTTTAATAGGTAATACTATTAATAACTTAACTTCTATATATAAGTTAAGATCTTCTTATAGCCTTATTACCTACTCTATTATCTAATACTATATCCTTAATACTAAAGAAGGTACTAAATATTTTAAAGCTTAAATCTAAAAGTAGCTAGGTTAAATAAAAGCTAAAGATAATTAATATATTAAGACTTAATAATCTTAATAAATTACTATTAGAAAGCTAAAAAAATAGCTTTATCTTAATTAAGGCTTATAATAGTAAGACTATAAAAGATTTTATTTAAAAATAAATATAGAATTAGGTTTATATTATTACTTTTATTAATATAAGCCTTAAAGAATATACTTATAGCCTTATTAAAAATAAGGTTATAATATTAAATATAATTATAGCCTTTAAAAAGTACTTTAAACTAAAAGGTATTACTATCTTCTAAACTATAGCTAATTATTTCTTAATACTAACCTTTACTTAATATAGATTTATTAAGAAACTTATTATAGTACTTATTAATACTTAGGCTAAGTAATAATCTCTTAATAAAGACTTTAAAGTCTTTAAGGCTTTAATAATATATCTTTTTATTAATAGTCTTAATAAAGAGTTTAACTCTTATATTATTAAGATAGCCTTTTATTTTATTTTAAAATAGATTAATAATACTATTATAACTTTTATAACTATACTTATATAGGTAATTATAATTATAGCTAACCTTATTAAGCTTAAATAATAAAATAATAAAAAGTCTAAGTAGTAAGCTACTTTAGTTATTATAATAATTATTAAAGGGTATTCTCCTTATAGTATAATAAAACCTAATACTATTAGGTACTTTTATTTCTTTTATAAGCTTCTAGGTTATTTTAATAAGTAATATTAAAAGCTATACTTTAAATTCTATTTAATAAACCTATTCTTTTTATTTTAATAAAATAAAAAGTATTAATACCTAACTAAGAAATATAATAATAAGTATAAATATAAGAAGGTTAGCTTTAAATAGTATATAAATCCCTTTATAGACTTTAAGCTAGCTTAACTTACTTTTATTATCTTTTAAAGCCTATAATACTTTAGTTAACTTAAGGTAGATAATACTTTTATAGGTATTAAACCTAAATAAGATTTTAATCTTTTTATATTATTATATTAGAAACTAATACTATTTAACTCTAATATATCTAATTATATCTTAAGCTATAAAGAACTTATAAAAAACCTATTCTTTTACTTAGGCCTTAGTATTTAAGGTCTTACTAGTATTATCTTAAAACCTACTACTTATAAAATAGCTATTATTACTATAAAAAGCCTTAAGACTACCCTAGAATTATATAATAGTATTTTATAGAAAAGTACCTTAATAAGCTTATTCTTTATTAGTTACTTAATAGTAAAGAATACTATAATAATCTTTAGTAAAGAAAGAGTAGTTATAATAAAGGATTAAGGGGTTATTCTTACTACCTAGTAAACTACTAGAGTCTATATAGTTAATTATATTACTTTAAGTATTAGAATATAGCCTATATAATAAATAACTTAAAGTATAAGCTATAGTATAATTAACTTAGATATTTAAGGGAATAGAATATTATTAAACTTATCTCTATCTTTACTAGTATAAAGCCTATTAGCTAGTATAAATATTATATTAGCTATCTTATAAAGAAATAAAAAGAAAGCCTTTATATTTATCTATTCTAAAAGAAAATATATCTTTTTAAAAGCCTTTATACTAATATTATTAGTACCCTACCTACCTCTTAAAAGAAAGATTAATACTAGGTTATTATTATTAATAATTATACTAGAATATACTAGCTATTCTTTATTAAAAAGAAATCTTAGCTACTTAATATAATACTAAATTTTTTAAAGATATAGGAATATTTAGAATATAAATACTACTTTATTTAACTAGATTAGGAGGGGGAGAATATTATAACCTAGTTTAAGAACTCTTATATTTCCTTAGGTATATACCTATAGTATTCTACTATTAATTAGTATTAATAGAATAATATTACTAAGGTTAGGAATAGGATACTATAAGATAAGCTTTTTCTTATTATATATTAGTTAAAAGTACTAATTAAATTCTAGCTAGTTATAGTATAGGCCTATATTATTTTTTAATAATATATCTTTATAATAAAGAATAATAAACTAATAACTCCTTATAAACTATAGTTTAGAAATAAACCTAACCTTAGTTATTTATAAATTATAAGTAGTTATAAGTAGTAAAAAACCTCTTATTATATTTTAAGAATAGTTCTTAAAACTATCCTATATATCTTAATTAGATATAAAAGCTAAACTAACTATATTATCTTAAATACTAATAGACCTAATAGACTAGTAGTTATTAATAATATTATTTTTTAAGAATAGCCTAACTAGCTATTTAAAGATTTTAAATATAACCTTTTTTAATAAAATAACCTTACTTTAGGCTATAAGAGTAAAACTATATATTACTTTTTAGGTTAATAGGTAATTAGTAAGAAATAAAAGTATATAAAAATTACTCTAATTACCTATAACTTACTTATTAATAGGAGCTTTATAGTAAAGTACTATAATATACCTACTACCTTAACTATAAGGCCTAAGTAAATAATACCCTTTATATTCTCTATATTAGTAGTATTAGGAATTACTAATAAAGATAATAATATCTATAACCTAGCTAATAATAATAACTTTATTAGCTATCTATATATATTAAGTAATAATAAATTTAAACTAATATTATTAGATATTTAATTAACCTTATATCCTATCTTTACTATTAGTATTAATAAGATATTATCTAACCTCTTTAAAATACCTTTATTCCTAGCTTTAAGTAGTACTATTAAGTAAGAAGAAAGACCTATAATATAGATTAAAATTCTAATTAAATTAGTCTTAATATTTTAAAACTACTAATATATACTTTTCTTTAATCTTAATAATATAATAAACCTTACTATATTTAATAACCTTATTTATAATAAAGAACCTATAATATATAAATAAGCTATTCTTTATCTTAACTTATAAAAGTAGAAAGGCTTAATAATAAATAAGTATAACTCTTTAGTAAAGAACTATATTATAATTATAGTTAATAGGCCTAAAAATAAGACTATCCTCCTAGGTAAGTAGGTATATAAACTTAAAAGAGGTACTAATAATAAGGTTATTTACTAGAAATCTTAGTATATAGTAAAAGGTTTTAATTAATATAAAGAACTTAATTACTATAAAATATTTATAAGTATATTAAAAATTTTAATACTATACTTACTACTAGTAATTATAGCTACCTTAAACCTTAAGGTTAAGTAAATAGATATTAAGACTACTTTCTTTTATAGTCTTATAGATACTAAAGTCTATATTAAAATACCTAAAGGATATTAAGAAGAATACCTTAAGAAGGTATAGAAGCTACTAAAGTCCCTATATAGGCTAAAGTAAGCCCTATAGATCTAGTATATAACCTTTTATAAAACGCTTTAGAGTCTTAGCTTTAAGCCTATATAGCTTAATTATTTCCTATTTATTTATAAAGATAGCCTAATTATTATAGTTTATATTAATAATCTTCTTATTATTAATAAGAATAAGGTTATTATTATAAAGATTAAGAAAGCCCTATTAAATACTTATAAAATAATAGATATAAGCCTTATTAGCTACTATCTTAGTATTAATATTTATTAAGACTAATATATAAAAACCCTTATACTCTTTTAAAGTAAATATACTAAAGCCCTTTTAAAAGAAGCTAGCCTTCTTAACTATAAACCTTATAACCTATTAATAAGTCTTATTACTAAAAGTATTAAATAATAGCTAACTATTAAGAATAGCTAATATACTAAGACCTATAAAGGCCTAATTTATCTTTCTAACTACTCTAGGCCTAATATCTACTTTACTATTAGCTATTATTATAAATTTATAGCTACCTTATTAATAGAATATATTATTAGCCTAAAATAACTCCTATAATATATTAAAGGTACTATTAACTATAAACTTATTTTTATAGAACCTAATAAAGAACCTTAAGTCTATTATAATATTAACTATACTAGCTACTAATAAATATATAAATCTATTAATAGCTTTATTATTACCTTAGAAAGTAGTATTATATCTTAGTACTTAAAGCTATAGAATATTATTATATATTTAATTACTAAAGTAAAGTATATTTCTTAATATAATATAGCCTAGGAAGCTATTTAGATTTAATAGCTTTACTATATTATTATAAAAACCTTTAAGGAAAAGCCTACTTATACTAAGACTACTATCTAGGCTAATAACTCTAATACTATTACCTAAGCTTCTAGTATTTAAGAATACCTCTATATAAAATATATAGATATTTAATACTATTAGTTATATAACAAGAATATACTATACTAATTAAATTTTAGTTAAATTCTAAATACTAAGAATACTATTAATATTATAACTAAGTTACTATTAAAGCTAGCCTTTTATAAGTATAGGTACTACCTAAGACTATACTAAGTACCTTTTAAGCTATAATTTTCTAGGGGTCTATTCTAGAAGTATTATACTCTTAAGGCCTTTAGTCTCTAGGGTATTACCTACTAAAGCTATTTTATAAGTATTATAGTTAATTAGTTCTATACCTCTAAGGTATTACCCTTTATAGGGACTATAATAAGCTCTTTATTAACACTATTAGTACTAGCCTCTAGGGTATTACCTACTAAAGGCTAGCTAGCTCTATTAATACCTTTATTAGTATTAGCCTTTAGGGTATTACCCTTTAAAAGCTAATAAGCTCTTAATTTACTACTATCTTATTACTTTTAGGACTATTATAGGCTAACTAGTACTAAGCCTTTAGGGTATTACCCTTTAAAGGTATTATAATAAGCCTTCTATAGCTATAAGTTATAGGGCTTTATAGGTCTTATAGTTACTAAGGCTCCCCCCTATAGTTTACTACTATTTTA